TGGATTTGGTCAGGGTACAAGTTGTTTGTTTAACCCGACAGCTCTGTGCACCCCATCGCATGCTTTGCACACTCATTAAAACGATTATTCACGACCTGTCGAGTGTTTTTGGGTTCATTCACAGGAAAGGCTTGGAGCGAGCGAGAGCAATTCAAGTCAACACTGTCCACTACCCAGATGCACGTGAAGACGAACTGGTGCGTGCGTAAAAAGACAGAGGGAGGGGTGGATGAGCACGCCTAGCTGTAACTCCTGTTTATCCGATGCTCTGGCATTTCAGTCTCAAAAGAATACCAAGAGCAATTGGTCCTAAAGGACCATGTTCCTGTGTTAACTTCAAGGGCCTGGCACAGGACAGAAAAATAAACCAAAGAAACCAACTCTAGCCTCTCCCTCTGCTTCTCCTTTCAACCTCTGCAAAGCTTGAGGCTTGGCCACCTTTTGCCTGCAGCCCTGGGACTGGGAGGCTCCACCTCTCACAGTGAGGTTGCTGAAGTTAAGTAATTTCAGGAAAACTCGCCAGGGTGAAGGGATTCTTTTTTCATCTCCCAAGACATTTTGGTCCTCAAGGAAGAACGTGGTTAATTTTTCTCCCTATATTTCTCACAAATAGTGAATGGAGAGAGAGCTCGAGAGATAAAGAATAGGGCTGTAAACTGTATTTTAGTAGATGTATTCCAAACTATTAGCAAGGAAAGATTCATCCTCCAAAGAGGAAGAAAAGCCTTGTAAAACTAGGAGTAAATAGCACTCTATAAATTAAACTACTTTTTAAATTTCCAAGTCATCTTTCAAAATTTTGTAATAACAGTACGAGAAGCATGAACTCTAGCGTATTGCCATTTTCCACTATTGCCTTGTACATGTAGGACATACTCCATGGCCTTTAGTGTTATATTTGTTCAAATGAGCCCTGATACATAATGTTCATATGTGAGCTATTAGTTCAAGAGAAATGCCTATCTTTATAAGATATAATGGTACACATACACTAATAATAGAATAGATTAGTGTATGTATTTAATATCTACTGAAGAACTCTGGTTTATTCTGTACTACATAGGTACCACTGGCATAACTTAAAGGTTTTTAAAATAAGGCCATTTCTATATTCAAATCCTGCAGCTCCTTGATTTTTCATCTAAAACATTAGTAAACCCAGTGGCCATCTTATTGTTATGAGGATAAACTGGTCATGCCAACAGAAAAAAAACAAAAAGTCTTACTCATCAGTTTCATTCTATCATACCTGACACCATAAAATTATCTTTTTCTATTTTATTGAAACACATCAATACCATATGTGAAAAGAAGAATGGAAGTTTTCAAGTAGCATGAGGTTTTAATCAGAAATAGTTTAATTGCTAAAAAGCAAATTCAAATACATAATTTCATAAACTCTTTGGGTTACCATAATTTACTATAGGATTTACTTAAAACTGAGTTATCAAGTATGTTTCCTATATAAGCACTTTTGTTAAAACCAACCTCAGATAATAATCAAGAAGCAGATGTTGAAATATGTAAGTAAATAATGGAAAGCCTCTGCATAAATAAACACAAATCAATGCAGTAATAGACAACATTATCGATGCAGGAATGATCGATTTTAGTCTTCCAACCTGCAGTAAACTCAAAATGTACAATTCAAAGTATATTTTAAATCTACTAATATTACTACTGGAATAAGTAAATAATATACAAGCCCTGCTGCCAGTTCTACCTGATTCTTCATTCTGTCTGCAGTACTTTTGATGGGATGGGAGGAGTATACTACTTTTCCTAAGAAAACTTGCCAACTTTAAAACTACATCACTAATTATAAAAATTATAAAAGTATTAAATAATGAAATTATCACCTTACTCTTGTTCTAAATTTTTCAACCTTCATCATAGCCTCTAATTATTCATTTGTCACATTTTAACAGGAAAAACACACAATAGTGTTCATTATTTTTAAGATTTTTGAACTACCGGTAGTACCTTTGGGTTTAAAGATTCTTTGGGCTTTTGTTAAAACAAATGAGAAAAATGTCATTTTCTTAAGATACCCTGGAAGCTCTCATGCCTATGCCTGCATATGCAAGCAATCTGAAACGGAGGGAGGGGTTTGGCGGAGAGCATCTGTGCTATTCCAAAATTGTCTCATATAATGATTGCAAAACAAACAAGTGTCTGACTCAAAGAAATAAATATACTTGGATTTCTAGAAATTCATATATCTAAAACATTTTAGATTTTGCTTAAAGTTAAATTTCCTTTTTTGAGAATATCCCTGGATGACAGAATTAATTTTGATTAGCAAGCACCGGTATATGATGAGTTTGAACATTTAGGTTTTGTAGAGTCAGTGTTCATATTTTTTCTTAATCAACAAAGATGCTTATTTACATTCATTCTTGAATTAGTGTGGCCCTTCTGAAGCACAGGCCTCTAAAATAATTTATTTATAAAATTTAGCTTCTTTGAAGGTGATTTTTCTTAATATTATAAGCACATAAATATTGATTTTGATTTTATTCATATTTTTATGTAACCAAACATTCTATTCTATTTGATTCCTCTCCTTCCCATCTAGGAAAAAGAATTTAGGGGCTACTGGACCCAATGGGAAAATACATCAGTTATTGTTTAGGACTAATTTAACAGATAATTTAACTTCAAACAACAATGATTAGAGTATTTCAGAGCAGTGAAAAACGGAAGAACTGAGAGACAAGTCTCCCTAACTCACCCCACTACAGTTTTCATTCTTCCTGATCAATCAATGGAATCAACAACACCTGACCATACAGACACTGAGGAAAATGTTTGCATTTTAAGCGCACTCTGATTTAAAGAATGAGGCTGGAAAAGAGGGAATAAAACTGAAGACACGACTTGATTCTGGGAGTGTTACTTGGGTAAGCAAATTAAACCAAGGCAAAAATGATTATCCAAATATGTCTGGCAACCGAACACTCTTTTCATTTGACAGGAATTTCCAAATCTCACAACATGCAATGTGCTTTCCTCCTGTGCAGCTCTTCCAAAAGACCAAATACCATGGGAGAAGATTATATGTGTCAGGCAACGGGCCATGAAAAGGACCTGGGGCATTTTATCTCCCCTCCCACTCCCACAAGAGTAAGTTTGAAAGTTATTTATTTTTAAATACCTTTTATGTTTACAATTTCAAATCTTCTGTCTCCCTCAAGTTTGACAGAAGGCCAGGTGAGGATGATATTGAAGCAGAGACATTGGGTTTTATGGGGGATAGAGGAACAATCGGAAGTAGATAAGCTCTATTCTGCATTGTTCTTTCCTTCCCCTAGCCTTTCCAAGGCTGAAGACTACTGCCTGATAATCTCCAACACACCACGGATGTTCTGCTCACCCAAACCTCTGCCTCCCCTCTCCCAAGTACAGGGCTTGCCTTAGGGCTAAGGGAGTTTCCATCCCAAGGGCACCTCTTTCCCTGTAAAAACCCTTCACCTTTGCCCACAGGCTTAGGCAGAAAAGGAAAAAGAGGTAGGAAGCGAAATGGAAGAGGAGTAGGGAGTGGAAAGGACAAAAGATGTCTATTACAGAGAAAACAGTTTTATCAACTAACAGATAAGTGCTGAGATCTGAAACAACACCAGGTAAACAAAAGAAACAACTTTTAGAGGGAAGGGGAAGGAGGGGGAGAGCACAGGAGAATAAGAAGAAAAGAAAAAGGTGGGGAAGTGCGCCAACCAGGGTTTTGGAGTCAATTTTCCGGGCATCAGACAGTATGAGCTACGGAACTCAAAGCTCTGCTTGTCCTGGGCAAGAGCGCCCTCACCTTGCTGCTCCCCGCGCAGCGCTCGGATTCCCCCAGTCCGGAACCTGCGGCTTTGTCCCGAGAACGCCTCTCCTCCCGGGCTGTGCTCTGCCAACACCGCGAATCAGGAGTCTAAGTCACTTTACATGATTCCACATCCTGAGAAAACAACACGGCTGGGTTCCTGCCGATACTGATTCCCGCCTTCATGCCCTTTTCCAACTTCACCCAGGAGCCCCGGAGATTCGGGGAAGGCTAATAAGGCTAATAAGAAACCCCAGCGAAGGCTCAAAATTAGCTTCTGGCCGAGCCAACCGGTGCCTGGGGCGCTTGCAGCCACTCTCGGGACAACCAGGCTCTGGAGCTTACATCACTGTCCCCTAAGCGTGCATTAAGAATCAATTATTTGCCTGAGATTCCCAAAGCCGGGAACTGGGATATTCCCATCAGAGACAAAGTCACAGAACGGTGATCATTTCCCTAGTCCTTCGAACAGGCAGAAGAGAAGACTCCCACCCGGTCAGGTTCCTGGTTCCTTGGGTTCCTTGCCTCATTCTACCTGGGGCAGTTCCGCAAATCCGAGGGGGTCCCTTGCCTGACGCAGGCCAAGGAGCCGAGGGCGGTGGGCGCTCTGGGAGAGATGGTAATGTTAGTGTGAAAACGGGGAGGAGGGACCTTCTACCCACGCCCCCCACCAAAAGAAAACAAGAAAGAACTTTAGCATGAGGCAAGTCCTTGGCTCTAGAGCAAAGAGCTTTGTCTCAGAGAGAGCAAATATCCACAGGTTTAAATGTTAAGTCCAACTAGAATGTTCTCGCAGTTGCGGCTAAGACTCAGAAATCACGTTTCCACGAAATGAATTATTTTGCACTAACTCTTCTTCATATAAAGTCGCCTGGTTTCTCTTCATTACTCTATGTCCCCTTGGCCATGTCTACATCCACTTAGGGATGCACTGTGACTTTCTGCTGACTTGGGAAACACATGTATTTCCTCAGCTACTTCCATGATAGCACACCCCGCTAGGGAATTTTTTTTTTTTTTTTTTTTAATGAAAGAAGGGAGAGATGAAAAGAAGAGAAGAGAGAAGAGAAAAGAAAAAAAAAGGAAAAGGAGAGGAACACTATAGACCCGGATCTCAAAGTCATGGTTTAAGCCTCAGTCAAAAGCAGTCAGGCATAGTCCCTCCTCCCCTCCGAAAATCACTTTCACTTACCGATGTTGGGGTAAGAGCTCTCCCAGTCCGCAAGTCTTTTTCTTCGGCATCCTTGGGACAACCTCAGGCACAGTCTTGGGTGGAGGGAAAAAACATAGAAATCGGAAGGGAGAAAATAGACTCAAAACATAACAGCACATCACATATTTCCCGGAGCTACCTTGGCCTACATCCTCAGGACAAGGTCTCAGTGAACAGCCACTACAGTGGGGGAAAGGTCGGTTTGGGGGCTGAAAACTAAGAGGTGGATTATTTTAACTGCTGGAGGTTGGGGGGAGGGGAGGCCCTGAACAGGGGCTGGGGAGAATGATTGGGATGAGAAAAGAAAGCCTTAAAAGGTTGAGGGGAGGGGGAGCATGCGGGGGGAAAAAAAAAATCGATAACGAAGTACTGTGAAAGATAGTCCCTTTGAACTCTTACAGGTAGGTAGCTCTCAGAGAGAATGCAGATGCGCTTGTATGCGCGTGAGAGGAGAATCTAGATGACCCCTATTCTTTCCATATCTTCAGGATCTGGCCTCAAGTAGGAAAAAAAAAAAAAAAAAAGAGGATAGAATTTTAATTTAAGTTTTACCTACCCTGCTTGTTGGAATGGCTGCGCAGATTTTCATGTTGGAGAGTTCCATCTATCTGGCAGAAGCTGGAGTGGTGTTGGGGGCAGGTTATCTAGTGAAGTAGGAATGTACAGGAACCCCGCCCTCTAGGCACAGTTACACAACCCCAGCAACCCGCCTCAGCCAGCTCTAAAACCTCTAATGATCTTCACCTTCACCCTTTGTTAGCCTATTTCTCCAACAGGCATTTAGTCCCAAACACAACCAAATTAGCTATTCATAAAATATCTCAAAAGCAAAATTACTTCAATACATGCAAATTCCCCAACGTTATAGAAAATACATTTTTTTAGAAACCACATTTATATATTTAGAGTTCTAAACATATTCAACTTATCCAACTATTTGGGTGAAATATCCAACTTAAATAAATTTAATTAATATACAAGACTCATTTTTTCCCTCTATCCTTGATTTTATGCAAGTCATAGAAACCACATGAAATCTTCCATGATCATAAATATATTTGTATTAAGTCTTGTTGGTTCTGGACTTTATTTCCAATTTTGTATCAAGTTGAAGAAACATCTGAAAGAAACCTTTCCTGCTTTACCTAAATCATTTTCTCAATGTTTTATATATTAATAACTTGTATTAACTTTATACCAAATTCAAATAAAATACTTTAAACCTGGAAACAAACTGTAATTTGGGATTTTAAGTTATAAGTTGTGACCATTTTCAGTTCCAAAATCTTAAAAAGAGCAACTTTGATCTCATTTTTTAAAATGTTATAAGTACAAAAGAAAAAACACTTCAAAAAGTTTTGAAGTATTTTTCTGGCATAATCTAATTTTAACTGGCAAAGGATGGTGACAACAAATATCAAATGCAATACTACAACCAATTTGTTGCAAAATCTATTAAATGCCATGTTAGACTGTCATGTGTTTTTGAAGATAACCTGAAGGATGATAGGACAGACTGAGATATATGTAATGTTTGTATTGGGCTCAGAAGGCCTTCACAAATTTCTTTCTCTCTGCCCCATTTTATCTAGTAAGCCTATTAAACAAAAGCTATTTTTTACTTTTAATCACATCCATTGTATTTGTAACTTGGACATGTATGCAAGTAGAATTTTCACTCAGTTCTTATTTCGTTTGAATTTAAAGAAGCCAATTTTAATCTTGACCTCAAACTATAACATTTGCCATTGAAATTCAGTTTCTCCATCATGCAAATAAATACCTATCAAAAATAAATATAGCTATTTAATACAGCCAAAAAATACTCAAGGGAGAAATCTTTCTTCAAGATCTATGTCCTTTTAACTCAATATAAGAGTTCAACTTTCTTTTCAACTTTCGATCATCAAAAGGCTATATTCCTCTGTGCCAGTACATTCTCATTCCACAAATAAAATCCAAGATAAAAGCAAACAACACATCATCACCGTTTTTAGTCTCAACACATGCTTTTCTTTGAGCTGTTCTTTTGTTCACAAATGTGTTAGTGGGTATCTCCTTTGCCTAACCTCATTCAGTGGACTCTCACTATGTTTAATATCAGCCATAAATTTGGCTTCTAAAACAATTTATTTGTGGAGTTTGCTTTTGTGCTTCATTCTGAAGAACTGTTAAATTTCAAGCTTTGGTGAAACTGCTCATATGAAGAAAATAAAATCATGCCCAGTCTGCTTAAAGGAGATAAACTAGCTGTCTTAGTCTATTTGGTCCATTTCCTATTTGTACATATTTGGTTCCAACTCTTACAATTTTCCCGGACCTTATCTTTCTGTCTTCCTTCTTTCTCTCTCTCTCTCTCTCTCATTCTTTTTCATAGTGGAAGATTTTTTTTTTTCAGTTTAAATACCCTTTTTTCCCTTCCTCTCTCACTCTCCTATCTCTCCATTCACAACCCACCCATCTCCATATTCTGATATGAATTGTTCTGTATTTCTATTTCAAATCTATTTGAGTCACCCTTGCTTCTTTCCGAGGCCCCCCCCACCCCCCCGCAGCAACTCTCTAAGTGTTTGCCGATAACATCTTGGGGACAGATTATTTTTCATTGGGTCTATTGTAAGAAGGAGCCAGCTTATTGCATTACTGCAGAACACATTTCAGACTATACAATTGTAACAAATGAACAACTTGTCCTCCACGGACTCACCACAGGATCCAATTAGTTACTAAACCTTTTACTTAGGTTTTCTAATTATTTTCTGGAGTCACAGCAATTGGACTGCTGAAACAATTCAAAAATGTTTCCATTTTGTTTCAGATTTATAGATATATGCGCATATACATGCATGCATATGTATATCGGAAGTTAAAATTATGACTCTAAGCAAAAGAAACATCTCTAGATTATACAGACTTATCTAAAAGGAAATCAAATAAATACCTCTACATTGTAAAATATGAAAGAAAATGAAAAAGGTATTTTACTGCTTCTGAACATCTAGGATTTTAAATTGTTATAATTTCAAAATAAAATATAAACATTGATCTGCAAGTCATTACAACAGGTGATCACTTAAGCAAAATCTATATTCCAACTTCAGCACATCTTTATTAGAACTCTTCCATTGTGGGTAAACAGCCACGAAAATAAATGCTGACTTAGTATAAATACAAATATTTAAACAAAAATATTTGCAGCATTCATAGCGCAAATTTTACCTGAACTGAAGGACTCTGTGTTTATATATATATATATATATTACATATGTGTGCATTATATTCACTTCTATCTAACCATATACATTTATTTATAGTTTACCAAGTGGTATAAACAAGGTATCTAAAACAAAATATATAAAAAGCATTCTACTGACTGATTTGAAAATGAACACAAGGTAACTATGCACATTAAATTATGTATTTTTAGTATATCTACAGAAACTTAAAGATATAAGCTGAAAAGCCTATACTTTGTTTAAAGCTAGTGTTTATTAAATAGACTGCTCCTTGTAAAATTTAATTCCACAATGGAAAAAAATACTGTTTTTATTCTTAAAGTCTTAGTTTAAATGAAAAGGAGCAGTTTAAATTTTAGTTGGCTGAAAAAAGCCTTTGAATTCCCTAGAACTTTAATGATCTTTCAAATATTAGCTCTACTTAATAAAAGAGACAAAAGTATCAAGATATATATGAATTTAGCCTATTTTTTATTTCTGTGTGTTCATAGTAAACATTTTTGTAAGTGACAAACACGGGCATATGACCACAGTATCACAATCAAGAAATTTTAAGACAACATTAACAATCACTCAAATTTATGCGGCATTTGCGCAACACAGGTTACATATTTGCAAGGTTTACCTATAAGTACAATAGGTATTAACATTTCACTACATTTAGAAAAAATAAAAGTGACCTGTTAGTGACCACATACATCAAAATATACACAACACAAACTGAAGGCAATCATTAATTTTGTCCCCTTCCAATTCATTTGAATGGGCAGTGCTGCCAACTGAAACAATTTTCACTTTTTTGTTTGTTTGTTTTTTAATACTTAGTATTCCAAGTGCATTTTCTAGAACCCAATCTTTGGTCTAAAAGTAAACAAAAGAAAAAAACAGTTTATAAAAGAAAAGGACAAAACAATAAATGGCCAAAATAATGTCTTGGGCACCTTTACTACGAATGCTTCTTAAATACAAATTACAGTTTAACATTTAAAAACTCTCCCCATAATTTAGGTTGTTCTCAAGGTCTGCATCCACCATTTAGATCCATGATAACTTATAATACTGCACACATGGAAATTTGGCGGCTCTTACAGACTTGTCAGGTTTGAATGAAATGGCAAAGCAGTCACTATGTAGATACACATTCTACTATAATTTTGACTTCCAAACCTTATATTCTACAATGTATTCTTCCCACATTGCACCTCGCTGACACTCCACACCTTGTTAGAATAATAAACAACCCTAAAGACTGAACAAACGTACAGAATTGGGGGGGGGGTCTTAATAAAAAATACCTGGACTTATTTTTTAATTATCATTTACAATGCAAATGTGTGTAAAACGTTCACTTACAGTCTGGTCCCAGGGATGTTAATGTATTAAAGGGTTGGAAGAAGAACCCTGATTTTGATGTGTGAAATAATCAGACAGTCCCCCGGACAGTCCCGTCGTGAAACTTGGCAAAGAGGGTCTTAAAGACTCACAGGGCAGGGTCGAGGGCGCCTGCGGAGACGTGGAGGAGGACGCGGCCCGGGCGCTCATGGATGTGCTGCTCTGCGAAGTCATTGACGGGTGCGGGACGTGAGGGAAAAAGTAACTGGTCTGGCCCGCAAGCAGGTTGACCGAGCAAGGGTTGAGGGAGTAGGTCCCGGAGCAGGGCACCGACAGGCCGCAGGGCACTGAGGCGGCGAGCGCGGCGGCCGTGAGGTGGTGCGTAGCGTAGGGAATCTCCCCGTTGACCAGCCGGTCCACGCTCAGGCCGTTGGCCGTGGAAAAGGAGTGGTTGTTGCCCAGCGAGTTCTGAGTCAACACGGAGCTGTAGGGCATGGGGTGGCTGGGGTAGGCCGACGTGGTGCCGTTGTAACTCAAAGTGCTGCTGGCGCGGGGGTGGTGCAGGGACAGAAAGGGCGACATGGGCCAGTAGAGGGAGCCGGCGCGGTCCATGAAGGTGAGGCCCGTGGAGGTGAGGCGCGCCCCGCGTTTGAAGGCCAGCTTGGCCCGCGAAGTGGTGGAGCGGCGCCGCAGCTTGCCCGTGGTGCCGCCGATGAACACGTCGTCGCTCGACGGGTCCAGCATCCAGTAGTTGCCCTTGCCCGGGTCGTCGTAGTGGCGCGGCACCTTCACGAAGCACTTGTTGAGGGACAGGTTGTGGCGGATGGAGTTCTGCCAACCCTGCTTGTTCTCGCGGTAGTAGGGGAAGTTCTTCATGATGAACTCGTAGATGCCGTTGAGCGTGAGCCGCTTCTCGGGGCTCTGCCGGATGGCCATCATGATGAGCGCGTTGTAGCTGAACGGCGGCTTCTCGTACTTGCCGTTCTTCTTCTCGCCCTCCTTGCCCCCCTCCCCGTCCTTGCCGCCCTCGCCCGCCCCCTTCTTCTCCTCC